GAATTTCGTATGAGCAATGATTCCCATCGTGATTAGGAACTATCTGACATGGCCCGAGAAATGGGTGATTGCCTTTTCTTAAGAATTTCGCAAGTTGTGAAACGCCAGATGTTCCGAAGTGAATTTCCAAGAGTTCGCAATCATCGTAATTGTTGTCCTTCAAAAAAAAGGGGACTAGAGAACGGATTAGATGGTAATCCGTTGGAGCAAGATCTGCTTACTGTGATGGACGAGGGAAGCCCACGAAGCAGACCCTCATCTGAGTATGTTGTTCCCAACTTGCTATATATGGAGACGCGTTATCGTAAACAGAAGAATATTGTAAATTAAACCAGTACGTACCATCACGATTACTGGTACGTACCATCACGATTACTGGTGCGAATCTCTGTTGATATAAGCGGTGCACTATAGTTCCCAGGGTGCAGTTTTGTGGCTTTGATCGTGATAGTATGATACTCCAGAACCTCCAAAATGGAAAAGGTTCTTCAGGTTTGAAGTCATGAAGGATTAGTTTTAAAGTTACTAGGGCTCTTTAACGCTATATCACATACACCGACAACTTCTTTGTGCAGTAGTTTATGTAGAGTCCTCACCATTATATCTAATAATACCCTAATTTATTAACTGAAAGAATTTTCTCATAAGAGGAAGCTCCTGGTCACCACTTTTTCTTTTCCTTTCTAACCATCGACTATCTCTTTTGAGATGACACCATTGCCGCTTTCCACTGTTTTCTTTATTCTGATCCTAGAGTAGAGGGAAAGGAATCCGAGCTTTGACCAACCGAGAGACGAACTTACTTAACTCTCGATCCCCCTCCTCTCCTTCCAAGGCATTTAATTTCATATTCTACGGCTTGACTGCTGCCAATCTTGCTAACTTTCTGAAAGGTGGAGTATAGCGATGCCAAGCTGGAATGATGTCAGCAGGCTCGATCGAGGCTGATCATAATATCTGTTACTCTGATTCTGTCGTACAAGCTGTTTCAGTCTCTGAGGGCACGTGTAGTTCAATGAATTCATTATTCTGATCCTAGAGTAGATGGAAAGGAATGTGGTGTTGAAGAAAGAAATGAAGTCAATGTAGAGTAAGAAGAAGTAAATCTAGAGGTTGGTATAGGATTAATGGTGGAAACAGGCGAAGATCAGCTTGGAAGGAGTCGCTAGGAAGTAAAGGCCTGTGGTAAATAGAGTTCCAGGAAGGTAGGATGAATGTGGAGGCAGCTAGAGAGACAAAAATATGGCGAGGTGGCAACAGGAATGCTGAGGAAAACGAGTCTATTTCACTTTTCCCACCTTTGCTGCAACCTCACTNAGGTGGCAACAGGAATGCTGAGGAAAACGAGTCTATTTCACTTTTCCCACCTTTGCTGCAACCTCACTCTACTTTCTTGTAAGGGAACAGAGAATTCACAGGTGTAGAGATACACAGTTGCTGGATGTCCGAACTGATTTGATGGTGGTTCAGTGGTTCAGTGATATAGCGTATGTAGCGAAGAACGTCGTAGTTGATAGCTTTATTGATGCCAACGCCGATCCAATGAGATGAGAAATGAAGCAAAGGATAAAAGTGAACCGTACTGCCTAAGAGGGTTCTTATACCATGATTGTTTTGGTGCGTTATCAAAACAACCCTAGATCACTTATCACAAGCAGCACAATAGAATGAAGTACGATTCATAAACATCTTTCGGTCTAATATCGATGATCGATGAATCGATATAACAGGATGTAGAGGGAATTAGGTACGGAGGGCACTGTTTTCGTGATGTCATGATTCGTCACCCTAAAGGGGCTTTCCTCCGAACGTGGTCACGGATCAGAGCTCACGTCGCTGCTCATTCCATTTCGCCCTCGTGCACTCAACACTATAAGCTTCACGCTTCGTCAACTTTCATAGCATTTCAGCTTAACGATTTCTCTCCGTGTTCGTGTGAATTGTGGATTTCGATATAGGACCGATAATGCCGACGATATATCTTCGATTTATTTCCATATTTTGGCGATTTTCATATTTTTTTTTATTCTTTCATACATACAGGGAGCACTTTGTCAGGAGTCGCTACAACTAATGAACAAGAAACTGTTTAGCTGGACGTCTCATAAAAAAAAAACTGCCCAGAGGGAAAAATGCAGAGTGAACTCGAATGAAGCCCAGCCAAATCAAATTA